CAGATGATGTTAAAATGAAGTGAATTAGTTTCATTCCACCTGCTATTTCTTCTCTTCAGATTTTCTGTGTTTACTGTAGATTAAGCTTTGTTTATGTGATTACTTCCAATAATTACTAGTTTGCTTTAAAAAGTTTCTGGCCTATACCAGTGTAAAACTGCCTCATAGAATAGCACTTTGTTGAATGGAGTAAGTTAAGTAGAATTATGGCAAGATGGGAACTTTTGCTTTAAATTTTAATAGCTCTAAAAGACTTTAAAAGGTATACAAATAAAATTAACTTTCTCCCATTATTACCTAAGATTTTTACTACTGCTCTCCAGTTTTGCTTCCAAAGGAAACTATATTTTATAAATTAGAGTAGAAATTTATATATTTACTGTCTAAGAACTAAGCATGTAGTTGTATTAGAGTTCTATCCCCCCTCCCCCGAAGATCTGTTAATTTTTTTTTTTTTTTTTTTTGGTCAGTCGTGGGGCCTGAACTCTGGGACTGGGCACTGTCCCTCAGCTCTTCAGCTCAAGGCTAGCGCTCTACCACTTGAGCCACAGCGCCACTTCTGGCTTTTTCTGCTTATATGGTGCTGAGGAATAGAACCCAAGGCCTCATGCATGCAAGGCAAGCACTCTACCACTGAGCCACCTTCCTAGCCTGATCTGTTAAATTCTTGATGACTCCTTTTTTTTCTTCTTAAGTGTTGGAAAATTAGAACACAAATGAACCTGCTTGCTTTGGTTTGTGTAGCTGCCTACTGAGTTTAAGATTATGGACAAATCTTACCAATGTATGCTTAGGAAAGAATTCCATTGAGTAGTTTTTTGTTAGTATATTCTATTCAGTTTATATTATCTATGCATATGCATAAGTACATAGCCAAAACTTTTATATATAATTGCAAATTTTAAATTATTCATGCATTGACTTCTATGAAATGAAAAGTTGATTTTTCAAGCCACAAAAATTACCTCTGTCTTGTCACTCAAATTTTCTCTTATTAATAACTTGGCTGTAATTCATTAGTTTTGAAGAGACAGGAATCACTGTTATTTTTCTGTAACTGATATTCATGTCCTAAACTCATGTACGTATCTTAATCACTTAGAAGAACATAAAGATGAAAGTAAAAACAACCAAAAGCCTTGCATATTAACCACCATAACCATCAATTTATAAAGATGGGATGACATTCTGAAATTTTTTAGTTCAAATTTATTTTAATATAATAGAAGAAAATGTAACAAAACTGTATGAATGGTGGTACTTAAAATAATTATTTCTTGACTACAGAAAATATTTTTCCTTCAATTTTGGCAGCTTTGGATTTATGTACTTTTATGTGCCATTGTTAGATGCACATATTTATAATTGCTATATACTTATCATGTGTTGACCCTTTTATCATTGTAAAACTTCTTTTTTTGTTTCTAGTAATAAATTGTATTGTAAAAGTCTGTTTTGTCAGTATTAGACAAATTATTACTGTAATTATTCCATCTTTCTCTTGGTTATTGGCAAGTTACATTTTTTTAGCCTTTTTTAAATTAGTTGTACAAAGGAGTTACCATTTAACAAAGCAGTTCATGAATACAATCTTTTTTTTGTTGTTGTTCGTGGGGCTTGAACTGTGGGCCTGAGCACTGTCCCTCAGCTCTTCAGCTCAAGGCTAGCGCTCTACCACTTGAGCTACAGCGCCACTTCCGGTTTTCTAAGTGTTTATTGGAGATAAGAGTTTCACGGACTTTCCTGCCTGGGCTGGCTTTATTTTAATCAGTGTCAACCATTTTCAACATTCTCACCCATGCGTCTCTTTCACATCCCTTCCCTCATCCTAGTTTTGTCGGATATACATTGGATTCTTGACTGCATTCTGCCTCTCTATTCCTCTTCATTTGCCCCTTGACCCCCTCCCCACTTGTTTTGAATACCCGCCTCCTCGTATTTTATTTTGCTAAAGTTTGACTTTGCCTTTCTAAGACATTACACTAAGTTCTCCCTTGAACCTACCATATTTCAGTTAATATAATTGTATACACTTGCATGTACACACCCAGTGTATTTACTAACAAGTGTATATTAAATCTAGCTTCCACAGATAAGGGAAAACATGCATCCTTTGTCTCTCTGAGCCTGATTTACTTCACTTAACATAACTTTTTCCATGTCTTTCCATTTCTTTACAAATGGTACAAAATCATTCTTTATAAGGAACAAGTTAAATTCCATTGTGTATGTGTGTGTGTGTGTGTGTGTATACTTATATATATACTTATATGTTTGCATATATATATGTTTGTAGAGACATTATTTTAATACTTACGCATGCTATATCTTTTTTATCCTTTTACTTTCAACCTGTTTCTATATTTAAATCTAAACTGTATCTCCTCTCATACATTGTATGTCCATCAGTGCATGTTTATAATCCTTGTTTCCTAGAGCTGTGTTTTCAATCAGATAAATAATTGATCACAACAAAAGTTACTAATGCTATCTTAATAATTACCTCTTTGGAATCGTTACAGTTGTTCTTTATCCGTATTAACTGAGTGGCTACCTAGTGTCCAGTTCCTTTCTAGTAGTTTTTGCAGAGCACTGTAAACTTTTTGTTCTTGTTTATTGCTCACAGGTTAATTTCTCTTTCAATGTTTAAAATACTCATACTAGATACAAAATTCTTAGTTGGCAACTTGCTTCCTTAACTCTTGAATATGTGTTACTCAGCGTAATGAAAAATCAGTTGTTCATCTCAGTGGAAATCTACTTATCTCATGCATTCTTTTTGGTTGCTTTCAACATTCTCTGTTTTTGACAGTTTGATATTATTAGGTGTATATCATTGTGAATTTATCCCACATGGAATTTAGTGAGCTTCTTGGATGTTTAGGTGAATGTTCTTCATCAAATTTGGAAAGATGTCTACCAATATTTTTTAAAATATCCTTTCCACTCATTTTGGTCCTCTTTTTGTAATTCCCATTAGTGCTTAGGTTTTCAGACCTGTTTAATTTCATTCATTTTCTCTCTGCTCCTCAGACTAGATCATCTCAACTGTGACCTGCCTTTAAAATCATTCATTATTAGCTGGGAGCTAGTGGTTCACACCTATAATCCTAACTACTCAGGAGGTTGAGATCTGAGAATCACAGTTCAAAGCCAGTCTGGGCAGAACAGTCCCTGTGAATCTCTTATCTTCAATAAACTAATTAAAAAAGCCAGAAGTGGTGCTGTGGTAGAGTGCTAGCCTTGATCACAAAGAGGCTCAAAGATAGCACCTAGGCTCTGAGTTCAAGCCCCAGGACTGCCAAAACAAAAAAACAACAACAAAAAACATATGGATTATTTATCCTGCTGATTAAATTTACTGTAAATCCCTTGTAGTAAGATTTCTTTTGTTTTTTCTTCTTTTTTTTTTTTAAAAGATTTTATCTTTTATTTGGCATTTCTGTTTCCATGCTGATATATACATGTATAGATAGCTCTATCTATCTATCTATCTATCTATCTATCTATCTATCTATCTATCTATCTATCTATCTATCTATCTATCTGGATTGTAAAGATACTGTACAGAGGGGTTACAATTACATGAGTAAGGTAATGAGTATACTTCCTACTGAGCATTGTTACCCCCTCCTTTGTTTTTCCCCTTCCTACCTCTCCAACTCCTTCCTCCCCCATCCAAAGTTGTAAGGTTGGTTCTCAACATAGTGTCTTATACATCTCATTGTTACAATGGGTCAACAACTTTCAAATTTTCACTCATTTTGGCTATTAATATTCTGTATTTGTAGAGACATTATTTTAATACTTTCCTTTTGTTCCTCAGTATGGTTCTTGAAACACATTTAGGCTTTGTCTAGGAGGCCCAGTGTCTTGACCTATCAGGCAGAGTTGCTATTGGTTCTTTTTCTGTCATGGCTCATATTTGATTTGTTCACATCTCACAATATTTTATTCTTGTTCTTAATAAAGTGAACAGCATTTCCACTTTGCCATTTTTACTGATTTCACTACATTTTATATGAGCAGCATTCTTTAAAAAAATCAATTTATTTTTAAAAATTATTGTGCTTTGCTCTTTGCTAGACATAGATATAGAGTTTACACAGACTTCTAATTACCAAATACTGTTCAGTTTACAAAATTTCACTGTGAAAATGGTCTTAAAACTATAGTCAAAGCCTAACACTCTCATGCCTTTGGAATCCAATACATTTTGTGGGCTTTTCCCCCCCCTGTTAAAAAGACATAAAATAATGGATAAAATAATAGAAATTTAAAAATAGAAAGTAAAGGTACTTCTTAGCCTCAGTAGTTTAGGTGTAACAATTCCATGTAATCTTGACAGAATCCCTCTCAGTTGCTGAGGAGTTCAGTAACCTTGAAGTCCTGTGGCTACTAATTGGTAGATACAGAATTCAAACTTAATGTAACTCCAGAGCTCCTATTATAATGATATCTACACATTTCTGTGTCATGCTGCAAAGTGTGGTTGTGGACCTGCCTCCTGAGACTCCTGTGGTTCTCAATGAAAAACTCATTCTTAGACCCTCACCTAAACACATTGATCCAGGATTCTGGAGGGTGGAACCTGAGTTGGAGTTGGGACGATGGCTTTGGGATACTGGTGATTTGTAGATTGCTGCCTTTAAAAAAATAAATAAATGAATGACATGGGCTCAAAATGATAGTAAAGCAAAACCTCCAGGTCATTTCAAGTATATCAAATATAATTTATACTTCAAGTGAATAATAACTTGTTTTGTAAATTGTTGAGTGACCACTGTCACATTGGTCATGACTTAATCTAACTGAAGCTCGCTTCACTTTCCATGCTATTAGGTATATTTCACAGCCAGCTATTGATAAGTTATAAAATTTTAACATGTTACCCACTACTATATATTTTTTATATGAATTGTTTTGTCCTAAATTGTCTTAATATACTTTAGAATTTAAATAAAAAATACAAACAGTGGATAAACCATTGTCTCCTTTAGGTTGAACTCCCTCCTCCTGATCTTGGACCAAGTTCTGCACTGAATCAGACGCTCACTTTGCTGCGTGAAGTTCTGGCGTCTCACGATTCTTCGGTCATACCTCTAGATGCTCGTCAAGCTGACTTTGTGCAGGTAGCTAGCTTGTAACTCAGTTTGGCCATTGCTTTCTTTTGCTCCTTTATTATAGAGTCTGCTCAGATGCTGGCATTTATAACACATATTTTTGGACAACCCCTTTTCTTACTGATTTTCTTTTGATAAAATATTATATTCTTTATAAAATATTAATTCAGTGATGCTCATTTTAAACTATATGGGCATTACATTATTTAATCTTTTTCTTATACTTTTGTAAGCCTTCTAGCTTAGTAACTAGTAACTCTGAAGTGCCATGAACAGAAGATGGTGCCCCTGATTAGGAAATAAGGCATTATTTTCTACTTTTTTTTAAATTTAATTTAATTTTATTTGTGAACATACTGTACAGAGGAGTTACAATTACATGGGCAGGATAATGCGTACATTTCTTACCAAGCATTGCAGCCTCCTCCTTTGTTTACCCTTCCCTTCCCAGCCTCTCCCTGCACCCCCACCCAATCCTCCCCTCCCCCACCAAAGTTGTAAAGTTCGTTTTCGACATGACAACTTGTACTTCTCATTGTTGCAACAGGTCCACCTGTATCCTTAAACAACTGGTTTTTCCCCATCTCCTCCACAAGTTGTACTGACATCAAATATAGTGAAAGCAGGGGTTATACTGTGGGGGAGGGACATACAAAGCAACAAAGAGATAATCTTATAAATGAGTTAGAAACACATGCATGAAAGAAAAAAACATTAAAATACACATCTAACAGTTCATTTTCCTGACATCACATTATCTGACCTTTTCCGCTTGACTCATACATATACTAGATATTACAAATAAGGGAAACCATGGGACCTATGTTTCTAAAAATATGGAACGCTTCACCAATTTGCGTGTCATCCTTGCGCAGGGGCCATGCTAATCTTCTCTGTATCATTCCAATTTTAGTATATGTGCTGCCGAAGCGAGCACTATTTTCTACTTTTTATTTACAGGTTTTATCATGTGTGTTGGATCCTCTTCTCCAGATGTGTACAGTGTCAGCCAGCAATTTGGGCACAGCTGACATGGCCACATTTATGGTCAATTCCCTGTACATGATGAAGACAACATTAGCTTTGTTTGAATTCACTGACAGACGTCTGGAAATGCTACAGTTTCAGGTAAACGTTGCTATATAATAACTTCACTGCAAGACAATCTATTTTTTCTTCATAGGTTAGCTCTAAGTTATTGACTTGAACTAAATTCAGTGACCTAATTGCCAATGAGTCTGTTGATATAATTTTGGCTTTTAGCTTTAGAGAAAGATGCCAGATATGAAATGATTAGGATGCTTGATTCAGACCATGAAGACCAGGAAGCTTTTTCTGATTAATTATAATATTTATTCAGTGCTGTATGTAGATTTCAGATTCTGAACTATGGATAATATGCTATGTTTTTGAACTATGAATAATATGCTATGTTTTTGTTTTCAAGGTAGGTAGCTAGTGCAGAATGTGTTACACAGGGTAGATACATTTTTATTTGGAAATTGGTGTTAGGCAGTTTTCCTTTCACTCAGTAAAATTTTTTTATTTCTTTTTTATTGTGAAAATACTGTACAGAGGGGTTACAATTGCATGGGCAAGATAATGAGTACATTTCTTATCAAGCATTGTAGCCTCTTCCTTTGTTTACCCTTCCCATCCCTTCCCAGCCTCTCCCTGCACCCCCACCCAATCCTCCCCTCCCCCACCAAAGTTGTAAAGTTCGTTTTCGACATGACAACTTGTACTTCTCATTGTTGCAACGGGTCCACCTGTATCCTTATTTAAACGACTTGTTTTTCCCCTTCCCCTCCACAAATTATACCGACATAAAATACAGTGAAAGCAGGGGTTATACTGTGGGGGAGGGACATACAAAGCAACAAAGAAATAATCTTATAAATGGGTTAGAAACAAATGCATGAAAGAAAAAAACAGTTAAATACATATCTTAGGGTTCATTTTCCTAACATCACCTTATCTGACCTTTTCTGCTTGACTCATACATATACTAGATATTGTAAATAAGGGAAACCATGGGACCTATGTTTCTTTGGGCTTGGCTTACTTCACTTAATATAATTTAAATTTTATATAATTCTTTAATCATCATTTTCCCATGTGTTATTTATATTTATATATATTCATTTAATATTCTGAAGTTCCTATCCATTGACTTTTTTGGGGGGGGAGGTCCAGTCATGGGGCCTGAACTCTGGGCCTGGGTGCTGTCCCTCAGCTCTTCAGCTCAAGGCTAGAGCTCTACCACTTGAGCCATAGCGCCACTTCCAGCTTTTTTCTTTTTGCTTATGTGGTGCTGAGGCATCGAACCCAGGGCCTCATGCATGCAAGGCAAGTGCTCTGCCACTGAGCCACCTTCCCAGCCTCCATTGACTTATTTTATCTCATGGATTCTCTTCTAATTTTCTTTAAACCCTTCTTCTACTTTGTTTCTTTGATACTTGTTCTGCATAATTTTTCTTCCATTTTTCTTTCAAACTACTAATTTTGCTTTTACCAGTAATAGTTCTCTCTTTATTTGTCTTGTTTCTCTGATTTCCAAGTATGCCAATGGATAGGGAGTCTTAATTGTATTTTCTTAGGCATTTACATTAAAAAAAATGAAAGCTGGTTTCCTAGGAAAGTGGAGCTATTGGCATTGCTTATGCAAGGCAGGCATTCAGATATTGGCAGACTACAGTTGACAGAGCTCCGTACCATTGGTGCACAGACTGGAAAACTGGGGCAACTTCCTGAGGAGGACTGGAAGGAAGACCTCCCGCCTTTCAGGGCTGACTGAAACTAAGGAGGAGGAGGCTACTTGTTCTATGGATGTGTTAACTATTTGGGGAGTTCCCATTCTTGACTTATGCTCCCACTAGCATTATATAGTTTCCTCCAAGACTATGAAGCCGGGGAGCATGACACACTCATATTCCAGCCAGATTTTAGGCCATTTCTGACCATAAAACTTGTCTAGGGTTCAGCTGGCCCTGCTTTATCCTTGGGAAGACTCTGGCTGCTTTCCTCTAGACTTCTACAAATGTCTGATCCGATGTGGGGGCAGTTCATACAACAAGATGCAGGAGGATGGGATGTCAGGCCCCTCAAGCTTCCCACTGGCCAGATTTACTTCTTGCAGCCCATTGTTTTTGTTGTTTCTGTTTGTGTTCTGCTTTTAAGTAGAGGCACAATCTCATTTCTTTGGCCAGTCACTAGTCCTGGAGTTCTCCTTGATTGTGATTTTTTTTTTTCAATAAGACTTTGTCCTCCTTTCGCAGGAGGACCTCCTCTGTTGGGGATGAAAGCGTTTGTGCAGAAGCCTCCTGTGCCCTACGATCTGAGCCACTCTAAGGAACAATCTAGGATTAGGAGCCCAGCCTTCAGAGTGGGCTGCTGCTCTCATTATGTTCTTTATTCTTCTTTTAAATGTTTTCTTTCTGCTGTGTTTTATTTTAGATTGAAGCACATTTGGACACGCTTATAAACGAGCAAGCCTCTTATGTTTTAACTAGAGCAGGCTTGAGTTATATCTACAATACTGTACAGCAACATAAACCTGAACAGGTGAGCACATACATAATTTGAGATCTATGCCAGCTAGAGCATGGCTAGAGCTGGACTCTAGGTTTGAATCTTGACTCAGCCACTTACTTCTTGAGAAAGTGACTTAACCCTCTGAGTCTGTCTTCTCATCCCCAGATTGGGGCTAATATCTTTGTCATAGGGTTGTTCTAAACATAAAGTGAGATGATACACATACAGTTCTTAGATGACTGAGATATAGCAGAGTACCCCCAAATACAAAGACTTTTGTCTGAAAAAAATGAAATATATAAATTAGTATCAGAAAATGTGAAAAGGAGGTTCACACTGGTATTTATTTAATTGTATATCTTTTGTATGATTTTAAAAAACTATATTTTGTACTTAACCAGATATATTTTCATCCCAAGTGGGGAATCCTTTGTTTAAAAAAAAATAAAGTTTTTTAAATTGAAAAAAAAATAGTTGTCATTTTTAGCTAACCGCTGAATAGATTCTGCCAAATGTGGTGGTACATGCCTATAATCCCAGTAGTTCGAAGGCAGGTGCTAGGAAGATTCTGAGTTTAAGAGCAGACTAAGTTGTATAGTCAGCTCTGGACCAGCCTGGAATACATACCCTGCTAAAAGAATGAAAGAGAGAAAGAGGGGGAAGGGTGACAAGGAAGGGGAGGAATTGTAATCATTAAATCATTAGAAGAAAGATACTAGTTTTTGTGTCCAACATGTGCTGTAGTTAAACTCCTAGGCCACAATCTTTCTTTTTTTTCTTTTTTTTTTTTTGTGTGTGTCCTGAGGGTTGAACTTGGGGCCTGGGCACTTTAGCCTTTTCACTCAAAGCTAGCACTCTACCACCTGACCCACACAGCTCCACTTCCAACTTTTTGCTGGTTAATTGGAGAAAAGAGTTTTGCAGACTTTTCTGCCCAGGCTGGCTTTGAACTGTGTGATCCTCAGATCTCAGCCTTTTAAGTATCTAGGATTATAGGCCAGCAGCACCTAGCTTCAGGACACTTCCTTTAATAGCAAATAAGTCTTTCAAATGACAGGCAAAAACACTTTATATTTCTCAAAATCCACAGTTTTTTAAATTATTTTCTTTTGCTAAAGTAAAGAACCAATTCTGTTACTATTTGTATTTTCCAGTTATCAAAATAAAGCTCTTCTTCATCTTCCATGTGTCACTGGCATCTACCAGATGCTGCATTGCTTTCTTTTTGTGGCTCATGAGAAAATCTAAAGTATCATGGTACTTTCACTGTTAATAGATCTACTGTGCTTCTCCTCGAGATTATAGTAGCTGTTCTTGAAGGTGGCACTTGAGTTCTTTAGAAATTACTGAAATATGAGTTGTCCAAATCCAGACAACTCCTGTTACTTAAGTGAATGAGAATGTGTGTCCCCATATTTACATCTTTTCTTTTTTTTTTCTTTTTCTTTTTAATAGGGCCCTTTAGCTAATTTACCTAGCTTAGATTCTGGTGCATTGAAGGCTGCAATGGTAAGTACATAAATTTAAGAAGAAAAAAATTTAATTTATATTTCCTTTTTTTTCTTATTTTTCACAGGTGATAATTTTTATCACCTTGATACACTGTGTTCACAGTGAGTTCAGAAATAATAAGCATGTATTCCTTCTACCAGTCAAGTCTGACCAAGACAAACTACTGTAGCCTGGTAGCTTCTCTCTTGCTCTTTGGGATGTCTTCATTTAGGATTCCTAATCTAACAGGAACAGGAGGTGCTGATGAGGAAGTTAGGTGATACATCACAGATTTACTCCTGTCTTGATCCCTAGTCTACAGTTCTGGCTTCTTTCTGAGATGATAGCAGAAATTGGATTTCTGTCTTAATGCAGATATCATTCTTGAGCACAAGAGCTCTCTTGTTGCCTGTTTTTCACGTGAAGACTTTCGTTCTGCATGAGCACCACTTTTTGTATGTTTCCATGTCTTAAGTACATACTTTTCAAATACATGCTATGTTCATGTGTGTATGTATATATACATACATACATACACTGATCTACTGTATGACATTTAAGTTATGTATATCTTTTGAGAAATATATATGAGTATTTTGATCATATTTCCCTTTGATAATACTACTATCGGTAATAGTAAAAAAAAACAATGATCAACAATAGCCATTAACTTTTACTGAGTATGCAATCAGTGTTCCTGCTTTAGCACTTATCCTCATGACAATGCCATTCACGCCTGGAAGTAGACCTTTAGCATCTGTAAGCTTAATGTGCTCTGTTGCGCGTCCTAAGTATTTAAAAAGCTCACCACAAAAATAGTATGACTTTCATAAGTAGTTCTTGAAGACTTTTTTTCCCCCCAATACCAGGGCTTGGCCATACCTCATCTTCCAGAACAAAAAATAACTGCAAGTAAAGGGAGAAGCTTAGAATTTACCTGTCATGCAAAGAAGAAGGCAAAATGATCTATACTGATATAGTGGAATGTACAGCACTCACTGGGACTCATAGGGATACAGTACAAAAGATGCTGTGTATAGAAGTGATGATCATAATTTCCATGTTTTAAACAAATACTATACCAGCAAACACTATAGAACTGCAAGGAAAATCCGAGGTTAAAAAATAAGCTGGGTACCAGTTGCTCACACTTGTAGTCCTAGTTACCCAGGAGGATCATGGTTCATAACCAACCCGGGCAGGAAAATCTGTTAAGACTCTTATTTCCTATTAACCAGCAAACTTCCAGAAGTGGAGCTGTAGCTCAGGTGTTGGAACATGAGCTTTGAGCTAAGGACAGCACCCAGGCCCTGAATACCTAGTACCAGCACAAAGGAAATTTAAGTAAATTAAATAAAGTTAAAAATTAAATTAGAAATAAAAGAAATGAAAACAAATGACATTTAGATTCATTAAGAAAAAACTTAAGCTTCCTAAAAAGTTACATGTAAACTTAACAGGATATCCAGTAAATTCATGTCAAGGTAAAAAACCAAACCAAACCAAACCAAAAAACTCAGAAGACAAAGAGATATGCCTTTTTTTTTTTTTTTGGTCAGTCATGGGGCTTGAACTCAGGGCCTGGGCACTGTCTCTGAGCCTCTTTGGCTCAAGGCTAGTGCTCTACCACTTGAGCCACAGCTTCACTTAAGGCTTTTTTCTGTTTATGTGGTACTGAGGAATCAAACATGGGCTTCAAGCATGCTAGGCAAGCACTCTACCAGTATGCCACATTCCCAGCCCAAGAGATATGGTTTTGCAAAGATTAATAAAATTACTTATTTCTCTTTAAGTGTCTCTTACCTCTATTTTTCCTTCTCTCCTAACATAGTCCAAAATAAAATCAATAGTGAAATTCTTATGTGCCTTGCCTTAATTTTAAAAATAATTAAGTTGATAGGCAAGACAGGCCATGATTGTAATCTGAGTCCTGGAGATGCAGAGGCAGGAAGATCATGAGTTCAAGGCCAGCTCGGGCAGCAAAACAAGGTCTTGTCCTAAATAAATAAGTAAACATGCATGTAATTAAATAGAACTAAGTTGAACATGCCATATCTCTAAAGCAACAAAGACTTGGTTGTATGTTTTTTTAAAATGTATTTCATGGTTTTCTACACAATTGTTCCTCTGGGATATTTCAAAGATGTTTCAGGATACCCACAAGTAGTCTGCTTCTCCAGACCAAGATCTGCTTCCAGGGGTTCCTCACCTAAACAGTAGTAAGAACATTTGTCCAGTTCCCATTTAATAACCAAATGTCTCCTAAGAACTGTGATGGAAACAGACATGATCTAGTAAGGAATAAAGCTACTGTACAACAAAACAAATGGGCAAAGAACACATATATGTATCGTAATAATGTAAGCTAGTCTAAACACATCTAGCATGGTGAAGCCATCCCCTTTCTTCCATCAGTAACTAGGTCCTGGTAATTATTATACATCAGTTTTTAAATTCCAACCTTCCCTCCAGCTCAGCTGGAGTCTAAAATGTTGCAGTTACTACCGAGGCAACCGCTTGGCATTTGGGATTTTTTTTGGTGGTTGTGTTCAACTCAAGACTAGCGCTCTACCACCTGAGCCACAGTGCCAGTTCCTGTTTTCTGGTGGTTAATTGGGGATAAGGGCCTCATGGACTTTCCTGCCTAAGCTGGCTTTGAATGGTGATTCTCACATCTCTGGCTCCTGAGTAGTTAGGATTACAGACATGAGCCACTGCCATGACTGTTTAAAAAATCCTTGGATTTTTAAAAGCATTGTTTATATTGACTGTATTTAAAAGTTGGCAGTGTTACGGAGTCCTAGAATATTTTAGAAATACCCATATGAATAGCAACTAGTTAATTGAGATGTATCATTTTTCCTAAGATTTAACCATTAAAAGAAATAGTAGTGTTTGAGTTATTTGTTAGCAAAATATACACTGTCTTACCTTTCTCTTTCTCTTTCTCTTTTAGGTTCAGTTTGATCGTTACCTTTCAGCCCCCGACAACCTCTTAATGCCACAGCTGAATTTTCTCCTAAGTGCCACAGTAAAGTAAGTGTTTCACTACTAATTAGTTGAGGAAGAAAGATTCACTTTCTTTTCCTTTTGGTCATTACTAGTGCTTGGCCTCAAAGCCTTGTGCCTTTACTTGGCTTTTCTTACTCATAGATGCTGCTCTACAACTTGAGCCATGTATCTAGTCTAGCCTTTTGCTAGTTAATCTGAGATGGAGTTTCAACACATTTTTCTGCCCTGGCAGGCTGCAAACCATGATCCTCTGGATCTCAGCCTCCTGAGTAGCTAGGATTATAGAAATGAGCCACCAGTACTCTGCCTGATCCACATAATTGTAAATATCAAGTATTTTTCCTGGAAAAAAATATTTTCAAGACCAGTAGTATTGTCTTTGAAGAGCTATGATTTTCAACCATTTTTCCTGCCTCGGCTCCTCAGGGGATTGACCAAGCTAGACTCTTTGGGACCTCCCAGGTTTTCTGTAGAAAGTTATAAAATTGTTTGATGTTATATATGCCATCCTAGATTACAGATGAGGATAACATTCTGGTAAACTCATCTCAAGCTTAACATGTAAGCCAGAAATGCATTTACTGCGCCAGAACTACCAAACATCATAGCTGGACAGCCCAGCACACTGGATGTCATTTGCTTCCTCTCCCGATTCCATGGCTAATTAGGAAGATGGAACAATCGAACCAATTTCCAACAATTAGAAGCAGAACCAAGATTTGAACCTACTGTTTTCTGGTTCCATTGCCTGTTCTCTTCCAATGCTGACTGGACTGTGTTCTTGTTAAATTTTCTATGTTGCCGATATGTTTTCTAGTATTTTTAAAGAGTCCCTAAAAGATAATGTGCCTGTATAAAAGATTACAAGGTGAGTTGTGTCCTGTATTTCAGGTAAAACATGCTATACTTGCACTTTGAGATACAGAAAGTGAACCTGAAATGAACAGTTGACTCGACCCATTGTGATATTTTTGCTGTATTTTTCTGTATTCATAATCATATTATTTTGTCTTAATTTCATCCTTAACTCTTTAGCACCCCCACTCCTGTGGTACATTGACTGCAGTAACTGGTGCCATAGTAAAGCTCATTCTTAGTGATCACGGAACCTGAATGCTGAAATCAGCTATTTTTAGACATGTTAGGTTTATGATAATGAAGAAACTTGTATCATGTTGTTATGGCAACCAAAATCCTAAAGTACTGATTAATGACAAGCTCTCCAATTCTAGAAGTAAGTAGTTCCTAGCTCGTCAATGCTTTAAATAATTATGTAAAATCTAGTCAAATTTTATGAACCTATTTTAAAATTAGAATCATTTTGACATGTGGTTCTATTATCGGTCTTCCTTAAGAATCTTGAAATACGTTTTTACGAGGCTATGACAATACTACCATTTGCAAGTGGACAAATTGAATTTCTTACTCCATGGAATTTTGGTGCAGAAGTGACTTGCAGATGCTGCTGCTCTGAAATTTTGGAGCTTATTTCCTCTTCCCTCAGTTCTTTCTTTTTAGTAACAGTAAATTAACCACATGCTTATTTTATTTGCTATTAGATGCTACTCTGGTATAATGGATGCTTTCTAGGTGTATATGTTGAAAGGTTTCTGATATTGGAAATAAGGTAAATGAGGTCTGGAGAATACCTCCCTGTTTGGTGTTACATTGAATAATTGTGAACAGGTCAGGCAGGCATGCTGTATTGGGATAGCACTTCTGTTAGATTCCTTTTACTTTTGATTGAAAGTCCCAAATTTTGTCCACATATTGATTTGTTAATTCAGCCCAATAAGAAGGATAGCCCTTA